CATAATATTATCTGTAGACACAATTATGTGTGGATGTAAACTTTCTAACCAATACTTAATTTACTTAAAACAGTCAAATTCAGCCATGGAAATGGTTGAAAATTATAATTTCTAAGTTGTCGTTTTAATTACTGCCCATATATTTTGTGTTTCGTTTCATTTAGTTTGTTTCTTTCTGATCATATAATTTTATACCATTTACGAGCTTCTAGTGAATTGAAATGCATGTTTCTGTGTAATATAACTTATAATAGCCATTTTCATCCCAAAAATTGTATGATGTTCATGTTGGCGTATATGATTCTATGGTAATGTAGAATAAATGCTTTTTGAGTTTAAATGCTATAAACAAATTAAAAATGAAGGTAAAGTGAGATTCCAGGTGTTTTAATTTTTGTTCATTATTATTAGCATAAGAGTATACATCCAAAAATAGGAACTAACAAATATTTGATTAATGTTTAGTTTTAAAATGGTAAACAATTCTGTAAATAAAATGTAGTGTAGTAGGGTTTTCAGATGAACTAGCTCTTCTATCTCATACACACGAACAAATGCAGGTCAAAACAAACAGTGTAGCAGAAGCCTCTGTAGTAGTGGGCCTCAACATGCACAAGAAAAAAAGCAAGATCCTAACATTCTGCATAGAGAGCACCAACCCAACCACACTTGATGGAGAAACTCTGGAAGAGGTAGGACATTTCACATATCGTGTAGCACCATCGATGAACACGCAAGATTTGATGCAGAAGTAAATGTGAGTATTTGCAAAGAAAGGATAACATTCCTGCAATTGAAGAACATACGCAACTCAAAACAACCGTCAATTAATATTAAAGTCAGAAACTTCAATACGAATGTCAAGACTGTTCTACTGTACGGAGCTGAAACTTGGAGAACTACCACAACCATCATCAAAAACATACAAGTACTTATAAACAGTTGTGTACACACGAAACTCAATGGTCGTTGACCGAATATCATCAGAAACAACCTACTGTGGAAGAGAACAAATCACTTTTCAACTGGAGAGGAAATTAGGAAGAGACGTGGGAGGTGGATAGGAAATGCATTGAGAAAATCACTTAACTGCATCATGAGTCGAGCACTAACTTGAAATCCTGAATGGAAACAGGAAAGAGGAAGACCAAAGAACATATTGCACTGGGAGTTGGAAGCAGACATGAAAAGGATGAATAGTAACTAGAATCAACTGGAAAGGTGATCAGAGGACAGATTTAGTTGGTGAATCCTAGTGGGCAGCCTATGATCCTCCACTAAGGCTAACAGGAGTAATTAAGTAAGTTATGGGTATTTGATTATTTAAAAGATGCATGTAACAGAAAGATAAATTATGACTTGTTTTACATACCGATATATATATATTCACGTGTTTTTTTTAATTATCAGGTCACTGAAAAAATGCATTTTCATTTACTTTTTGCATAATAATAATTCACATTTTTGATAGCTAATTAACGTTATTAGATAAACATATGCATATATCGATGGCTTCACAGAAGTTCTGAATGTTGTACGATTCTTTTATGCCTAAACGTGAATATTGGTGTTATACCGGAGTAGCAAATAGTAATGACAAAACCATCCATTTTTTGCTTCAGCTCACCGAATTGTTCCTTCAAATAAATGTTTGGGGACACTGTTATAAAATACATGGTTAGATTAATACTATGTACTTGTGAGGACGGTCCACGAATGAATTCAAGGAAGCTTTAAGAAGCTCAGAAACAGCCGAAGGTATTCAATCCATTCATCTTTTGGAAGAATATTACAGAATCTCTACATGTAGCTTCTCTATTAAACAAATGCTAAAACTCCCTGTAAGTGGATTGGATGACTATAATGATGATTTCGTTTTTACTAAAAAAACTATAAATACCTGAGAGTTTTGTATCATATTCGACACTGTTTGGAATAGCATTTTTTCTCACTTGTCTTCTGTCTTCTCACTTGCGACTTGGAGGGTACTAGCGTGTGAGTGCTCTATTTGTATGCGGTATATTAAGGATCTAACCTCGAGATATATAGTACTGTGACTATATATATAATGACCATAATAAGAAATTATCAGGCTCTGTTGGCTAGAAAAAAGACCACGCTGTTGCTGAAAACAATAATAACATATAAATATAGACCAGTCGTTCCAACTCAGTGGGTTTAACTTCTGGTGGGGTGGTAGGAGCACACTTTATACGTGTCCCGTAATAAAATGAAACGAAGGACCACGGTTAGCCACTACCTAAAATATAACGAATAATGCCTAAATGATTTACAGTATTTCTAATTTTTAGAAATGAAAGTCTTAATACACGGATAGTTAGAAGAAAGGTTTTGCTAGAATTATCATCAATAATAACGAAATTATCTACTCATAACTGTGTACCAACAGTTTTATTATTATCTCTTTAAATGAGGAAATTAAACATTGTGAAATATTTTAGCTATAAGATAATCCAGTAAGGAAATCCGAAAATTTCCCTCTTAAGAATTTCTAGAGGCCAAAGAAACATCAGGAAATGTTTTATTTAATTGACGTTGCACAGAAGCTTCAAAGAAACGTCTAAGAAATTGAGAATCAAGTGTTATGTTTTCGAATAAATACTTACCTATACCATTAGCATGTTTTCACGAAGTTCCAAAAGTTCAAGGTCACAATTAACATCATAAATCGACCTTGAAGTAAATCTCTAACTTGCGCCATTTCTCCATTGTTTCAATTAACTTGTAAAAGCAGTTTTGGGAAAATATAGTAATAAGAGATCCAGTAGTAAACATATGAAATACTTATTTGAAATAGTTTCTAAAGGCATATATTCTTTGAGAACTGAAAATTTAGAATTGGATTGATTGTCAATGTTATATGTAAATTTCTTGTCCAATAGATCCATAAATCACATTAAATTGTATCAACTAATTTGCATAGCCTCGTGAAATATAAGGAGGGCTGAATGGACGATTTCCACTGGATTGCATGGGGATGTTCTTTGAAAAACATGTTTATCAGAATGAAAATTTACAAGGACATTTGGCAGTCATGAACTGAATATACTTACAACTTTAGAATAATGAGCTGTAATGTTTTAGCTGAAAACAATTTAGAGATACATTGCTTCTGACTAACTTCTTATGTTGGTTATGCAGTGTAACATATGAACGTATTTATTGTAACGAAACTAAATCACTGTAAACTAAATAATTACAACCAAAGCATTGATTTGAATCCACTACATAGTTTTAAACCAGTGTTGTATACTTTCTTATTTATCAACATTAGAAGTTATTATACCGAACATTTTTAGTAAACTGCAATTTGTTTTGTTTTCTGGTACATAAAACTATAAACACCTTGGATACATATATTCTTTTTATGATCCATGTGTTTGTTGTAATTAAATTTGTTTATTTTTCAACTTCCGAAGTACCACAAAAATTAGGTTTTTCAAAATATATTTGTGGTTTAAGTCGTAACATTGAAGTTAAGATAAGCCAACTGTTGAAGTCCCGTTATCTCAAATTGTCACTAGAACTAGTAGTTAATTATATTGATTCTTTATATAATTTAAGTAGAAACTTCTATATTCTTTTCAGTATCGTTTTGTACATTCATGTGTCAATGAAGTGATGTTGAATCCATATTAAGAACAAATATACAATCAAAAAATATATTGATGTTTCAATCCGAGAAGAAAAATAATGACCGCACGCAAAACTGTCAAAAATATGATAAAAATTTCAATAATATAACTGATGATAAAGTAATCTGATGAGAATGTCTGTTATCTAAAAATTGTGACAAAGTTGATCCCTTTTTTTACCACATTGAAAGATATTTTGATAATCGAGCTTTGAGTAGAGGCTTTTTAGTTTGCTTCAATAGCTTGACATGCCATCGGAGAAGACTTCCTGGATACTTCTAAAACACTCAATTGGGATGCAGTCACTCTTATATCAAACTTTAGTAAGTTCATTTCTAACATGTACAATTTCTGTTTAGCAACAATACTCCGTGCGCTTGTTTTTCTGGGATAACGCTGCTTTTGTTTTTTTAATAAATTTTAAGCCTTTCCATATAAAAATGATTAACTTGTTCATTAACAACTTATCATCATTTCCCCTATTTCATATTGATTTAAAACTTCGTTTTGATCACAACGTTACTCTCTAAATGCAGCAAAACTTATAGCATTTAGGAATGGATTAGGGGATATCAATCTCACAACAACAATCAAAGTTTATCTACGATTCATAAGTTACAATAGGTTTCTGTAATAATTCTAACTTACACTTCCATTATACAGAGGTACAGGTTTAATATTGACCAAGTCACGTTAGGATATGTCATAACCGACTTATTTTTTTAAATCTCGAATTTTAATGCGCAGTGCAAAGCGTAGTGCTTCCATAGTTACATATTAGACTTTTTCATTATTAAATGCAATTTAGTGTGAGTAATTTATCATCAAAATATTATTTGCTATATCAGTTAATGAATTATTCTTTGAAATGTTTTAACATTCGATAGTAAACTACATGTACATGTATTATATTTCTTATTCATTTAGAAAGTTTTCTTCGAATATCATGTCAAGAAACCAGTGTAAGACCTTTGAAATCATTTTTAGTGTTAATATTTCATTTTGCTAGTGTAAAGATTTTTACACCTGATGTTAACATTACGGGTTATTGTAACTACGAACTAAATACAGAGTAACTGGACTATTTTTAACGAATATTAATGTTAACCAATCAAATAATTCCAATGAGTTTCTACCAATCAAATTCCTGTGAATAAATCACAGTCATAATCCCATGAAGAGAAGAAATCTTTTTAAATTATCTTGCAACTACAACTGTCTTAACATCTAAGTATTTCATTGTTTAAATAATGAATAATAGGAATGATTAAGAACTGACTTTTGTTTGTTTATTGAAATCTACATGCGCATCTTAAATGTTTTCAATTAATAAATCTATGGTAAATGATATTTAAAAATCGGAAAAATATATTTTATGTGGAAATAGGGATTATTTTACTGTCTGGAATAGGTGGTCTTTTCGCTTTAATTAGTGTATGCTTCAGAGGCTCATGGATCTCTCAAGAATATTTTGATCAAGTACATATGCATAGGAATCGAGATCATTTGAGTAAGTTAACTTTATAATTTAACAGATCTGAGTTCAATAGTTTAATTTGCGTTTAAAATCGACTGATGTATTATGTATTTAATGATGAGTTTGTAGGTATCATTATCAAGGTTTGAGTTGGTAATTTTAAATAAATTGAGCATTGAGTAGATTGTCATAAATAAATAATATATTTTTAATATCCCAATGAGTTCAAAAATTAGATTTTCTGACGTTTCGTGACTTAGTGTAGGCCACTTCTTCAGACAATAAATAATACTTTATTTCGAATACATATATGTATTCGGTAATTCATTCCTTGATGTCTTAATTAAAACTAAGAAATGTTTATTATAAGTTTTATTCTTATTTATATGAGTAAACAAATATCACCAAAAGTTTGCTGATTGTGCTGTACTAACTACTCAACAGATAAGGTAGATCAAACACGATAATACATTCAGATGTCTAATATACTTAACCTATTTGAAATATACATCAAAAATATGTTTAGTTACTATTTATTAACATTAAACAAAATAAACCTTTCCATTTCCATCAATTGATCTTCGCTAATCATAATTTTCTGTCTAATTTTTATAAAACACTAACTCTAGTTGTACAGTTATCTGTATTGTATCATTTATCATATCTGTATTTCAAAGATTTCCGGTCTGAACCACAAATACAAAAAATGGATTTAACAATGTAATGAATGCTTGTTTATTGAAAACACAAACAGATGAATTTTGTTGTTTTTTTCTTTCAAATAGAATACCTTCATAAGAAAGATTTATTGTTAATTTAGATTCACCAATAATGATATTAAAAATAATGTATTTTAATGGTGAAAGCAATTAATTTTAGAAAATTTAGCGTATAATTCAACATGAATTCATGAGTCAACTGAAGCTAGACCACCATGGAAAACATGGAAGCACTGGGCGGCCGTTTTATCATAGTACGGGACTTCTGAGCAGTGCGATTCCACGATCCCGCCCCCCGCGAGATTCGGACCCAAAACCTATCAGTCTCGCGCGCGAGAGCCTAACCATTAGATCACTGAGCCGGCCGGCATCCGATGGTGTTAATGTCTAACCTTAACATGAATAACAAATTATTCATTAGAATGTAAATATTTTGACAAAATAAAAGAACAATCTATCAGTTCAAACCATCTAACGATATACAAAACTAGTGCTGAAATTACAGGGAATCCATTAATTACCTGGTTTATCTGTTGTTGTTTTTTGTCTAACAATCTTGAATATTGTTGTCAAAGTATCAAACAACAGATTTGGTTAAATATCAAATACTATTATTCTTTTATATTGTTGTTCTAAATGTTTACTTTCATACTTTAAACACTAATTCATTAAGAGGTTGTTTTTCTTTCAAAATCCAAGGTTTGTCCTAGTATTTGTATTTTGAGAAAATATAATTGATAGTTATTATGATACAGTAAGTTTTCAAATATTATAAACGTTTTGCGTTCATTCTCTTCTAATATCTACTTTTGAGAAGCCAGATAATAAAAGATGAGATATATTGTAGTAAATTGACTACAATTAGTAACTTGTTGTTCTTACCACTTGATAAAAACGTGAATAATGTTTAATCAAATATAATTTTAAATAGAAGCATGCCGAATGAAATAAAAATAAGTTAGTTGATCAGTTTATTTTGGTAACTATTCGAAGGTATAGATGTTTACAAAGATTATTCCCTTGGAAAGTAGGCATTCGTTAAAGAAGTACTGAAAGCCAAAACATAGTGAACCACTATTTCAAGGCTCATTCCGTAAGAAAATCAATAGAGAGATCTCAGACGATAAGCGGTAACTATCATTTGTACTAATTTCTGAGTTTATCTCTCAATGTACAAAATAATTCTTTAAAAACTTAACACAATTTATTTCAATCAACTTTCTCATTACTGAACGATCTGAAATAAAAGGAAATATTAATAATCATAATGAACAAATTAATAAGAATCAACAGTAGTGAATACATATGTCATTAAGTATAACAATAATAGTAGCTATCATAATACCACAAATTTTGCTTTATTTTTTAAGTAATCCACGGCACCAGTTGCACAATCTTTCAAAACGTTCATAGTTCACATGTTGCATATAGTAATTATTGAAAAAATATTTTACAAATGTTTTTAATAGCCACTCATTTACAATGGCGAAAGTTTTTTTTCCGGTCCAGCTAATACACCATGTTTAGGGAGAATAGGATTCCCACGTGTTTGTTGATTTTTTTTGCGGGACAGACAAGAACGAAAATATACCGTGTTAATTTTCCATTATTTAACAAACTTTTATGTTAAGTTATAAAACAAACAAACTATGTGAGATAAATATTACTGATATTTTAACCAGCTTAAAGTTTTCAAAGAAAAAAATAATAATAAAACTTTCACAACACTCGTACTAGGTAGTTTAGTTTACGTCATTATGTCGAAGTATTTACTAAGCTTCAATAGACTTTTTTTCAGTTATTATCTAATCAAACGTAATCTATAAACAACTACACAAGTAATACGTTATTGAATGAACTGAATTCAATATAGAGCTCAAAGATCAACGATTTCTCGCTCATACTGTTTGAAACAAACTAGAAAGACTTATCATATTCATGTTGCTGAACCATGTTTAATAAAAGCACGTGAATTTGTAGATTTTTTTCGAACGAAACTAGATGAGCAAAACTATCTTTCGTGCAGTGAAAACAAATTGTTTTGAGCTGGTAAATGACTATTGTAGTATATATATATATAGTTTTGGGAAGGATTTGATTTGTAAACGATTTTATTTCCAGTATTAACAGTGAATCGTGTGGCTTATTGTATAAATCTGTACCATTGGAGATCACGTCTAATAAACTCAAAAAAGTTAAAAATGTGTACACAAATTTTGGTTGATTGTTTTTAGAAATATAAGTAATTTGATTTTTTCCAATAAAAAGAAAATTTTATTAAAGCTGAACATCTCTCTAAGATAAATACTGTTAACGATTAACGTTTATAACTTTAAACAAATCTATTACATAACATATGCCTTTAGGAAAAGTTGATAAAAAAGAATACACATAATTACAGCCATATTTACTGTGAAACACTTTTGTAAGTATTTTAAAAACAATGTAATATTTTATATCAATATTCGTCAATATTAGAATCAATAGTTTAGGTGTCGAGTATATAGAAGACACAATTTGTGTAAAATTATGTCTGAAATTATGTCAGCAAGTGAAATTGCAAATGATATCGATTTTGATTATTACCCTGAAGTCTAAACAGATTTGCTGAACGAAACTTTGGAATTATTTGAATTCAGTCGATGCAATTATTTCAAATATAATTTTACACTAATAAGGTATGGTGTTTTGTACATTTCTTTTAAAACTTATCTTTCTTTTAAAGCACTTAGAATTTTTAGATTGTGATTTTCTTTATGTTAAACATCGAGTCCTATGAATGCTAATCATTCGTAACAATCAACTTTTGTCAATTTTGGCTTAAGTATTGACAACAAATACAACAGACTATCTCATACAATCTTTCTTTGAAGTTTTCCTTAAGTTAACTTACATTTTAAAATATAAAGGTAGAATCATTCATTACATTTTGTGTGTCTAAGCATATAATTCTAATACTCAAGTTGTGTATTTTTGGTATGGTCTATATTAAGTAACCATTCGAATCTTAGATCATAGTGATGAAACCCGGAAATACACCACTTGTTTTTCTCTATAATAAACTATTCCTAATCTAGAAACTCCTGCATTTCTATTTTTCGCTTGTTCTTTCATTTCTAGTTTAACAAACAGTTTTATTTGTAATGTAAGGGTGTAGCAATAGACCTATAAATTCACTGAAACAAATGTTGTTCCTATCCACTGTTATGCTTCACTACTGACATCATTTATATGATTTAAAGTGAATGACGTTACTTTTGAATAACAGAATGTGTATAACTAAAATACTTTGAAAATGAATTTGACTGAGAAGTTGAATCAATAGCAATTTCCACGTGAACATAATGAAACATGTTTATGGTTTAAAAACTGAAAACTGAATTATCATACTGTTGCTTCTCTAGTTTATATGGTCCGAACCCGTCTGTGGGAATGATTTAACCTTTACTATTTACTAATATTCTGTAGTTCCAAATGAATTTTTGTGCTATAAATCTATCTTATTGAGTTGTTCGGTTTCAGTGATGCCTATGAAGACAATTATAGAGCCTAGAAAATGTCTGTATTTTAACTGACACAAATGTGATTGATTACACTCGAGATATCATCCTACAAGTAAAATACCAAGGGCATAGGTTATTGACGTAGCAAATAATTGGATTTAATGTGTTAATTTGAATTTACCTTCAAAAAAAATCAGTTCTCCAGAAGAGATTAACGTTTAATAATGATGATTTCATTGTCGTTCTGTATATCGTCAGCGATTACTCCATTTGAAAGCTCAGGGTGTGTTGTATGCTACTTAAGTGGACAGAAATAAGTAGTAAGAGTAAAAGAATTGTGGAGTATGTAAAGGATTATTTAAGATATGCAAATGATGTGTTTCATGTTCTTATGACTGACCAGGTCAATGACGCGTAAACCGTTCCGAGCAGTGCAGAGTCAATTCTGAGTTTTTAATGGTCCACAGAGAAACTAGCTTCTCGCCTAACCCAGCCGGTTTAGTCCAGAACACTAATACCAGCCTCTGCCATACAAATAGTATATTTCAGTCATATTGTATTTATATACAAACAAACCAGGCCGCATCATACCATAAAATAGAAAATAACAATTATACAAGATCAAGTCGAAAAGTGGCTGTGATTTTGAGAGATGATACTAATGAGTTGGCATTATCTTAGGAATGGTAAATCGCATAATAATAGTCAATGGGTCAAATAAAGGCTCATAATAAAAAAAATACGAATGTACATATGGTTTAGTTACCTAATGGTTATAGAACAAGAATGTATATAATAACGGTCCATAAATAATTACTAGCGGTTACCATTCATTTATTCTCGTCCAGATCTAACGATATGTTTAATGCATGATTTTAATGCTTTATAAAGACACTCGAGTTTTCATTCACTACAAGAGGCGATAACCAAAAACATACATCTGAACTACAGATCTTAGACATAATGTGTTTTGATTATGAATCCAAACAAATAAAAATATTTGGTTTAAAGTGAGTAAACTGTTCTTTAAAAGTCTCAGAACGACAAATAATTGAATTTTGGCTCGTAACGTAAATAACTGAATTTCATTTCCGTTATATTGTCCTTCAGATGTTCAAGAGAATAAAGTTATTTCATATAGACTTTTTTTACGAAATCCACAGAATGAGATTTACCTTTACACATTCTTATTACTGAGTGATAAACACTAAAAATCTGTAGAAAATGAGTTGCATTCTCGTTTAAAACAAATTACGAACTTGTCATTCAAAAACTTGTGTTTCAGCAAATTGTTAGTTTTTCACCGAAATTATCAGTCGTTTTGATTAGTAGTGTCGACTGTAGAATAGATCTCACAACAACTGTCGATTATCAAATAGAACAGTAAAATTACTATTGGCATATCGAAGTCTGAATTCACTGAATTTTTGAAAGCAAATTATCGTAATCCAATAATATGAATTATTCTAATTATAGTCATCCCGAAACTTGAGATTATTAAATTAAATAACACTTTGTGTTGTTATTGTATTCTATTGATCAATCGCATAACTTAAAGAAATATATGCCCAGTACTACTCAGTATTTTTTATTTTTGAATTGATGTTGCTTTATGTTAAATGTTTGTTTCTAGTAGGTAAAAATGAAAATTCATCTCAACTGATAAATATAAGGATAATGCTGTTCCCTAAGTCGTTTCATTTATCTAATATGAGTACCAGAAGAAAAAGACATTACTTTTATATGAAGAGTGAGTCATTTTCATTTTCCTGTTCCACATCTACTATATAATGTAAGTGGTAATTGTTCAAGGCATATTTTACGATTAATTTTTAATTACATTACTGTTTACCTATATACAGCTAAATGTGAAGCATCTTGTTGGCTTGCAATAATTGGAACAATATGTTGCGTAACCTCATCATTTATTGGTGCATTGAGAATGAGATATTGCAATGTTAAGGAGACGAAAAAGTATAAAACAGCACAATTCATTAATTCAATAGCTGGATGTAAGTTACCTTATGGTTTTCAGTTTTATATAATAATATTATTATGTATTAACGGTTTTTATATTCGACATATCCCTATTGTTAATAAAAGACTTGAATTTAATGAATAACAAAAATGGGTGAAAACTAATGTAGATGGAAAAATACCCTTCCGTACAAACGTAACAGATCAAGTCAGCAGATAAAATTCTTGTACTCATTATGATAAAGTACCAAACTAAAATGGATGAACTACTAACTTTTGTGTTTAAGACTACGCTGTTAACTAGTGAGTCAAACCGTTAGTACGCACTGTTTATTAGGGACAAGAATGAAATATTTTCCATGTTATGTAATTTATCCATTAACTGTTTTTATGTGATCGTTTATGTAAATCGTGAAATCTTTACAGTCAACCAAGAATTTTGAAAATACTATCAGTAGATTAAAGTTTATGGATATCTGGAAGATAATATTTATTAACTTACACTACGATGTTCATGATAAGTAATATTAAAGTTGACTTGTTAAGATGATATCCATGACTCACAGTATTATATCTTAAGATGACAGTAGGATGAAACTTTTGGGATATGATGATTTTTATGATCTCCAGTTAAAGAGTTTCAATACTCTTCACCATTTAATAATTATCAATACAGTAGGGAAGATTCTTATTATACTAAGAGAACTTTAGTAAAGTTGTGTTATAAGACCAATAGTTTAATAATGAAAGATTCACTGTTTTCCAAACAAAATCATTGGAATAGATTTCATAAAGGAATCGTCATTAAAATTTTTACATAGTTGATTGCGTTAGCTCATTTCCTTGAAGCATGTACTAATGATGCTATCTAGAACGATAATGTGAGCTTCATGATCAAATCATTTTGTCAAGAGGAATCAATACTTTCTAATATTAATGCTATATACATGCTTACAATAAGCCTGCATAAAAATTTATGTATTAATTTAAATTAATTACCTTTAATAAATCTAAAATAATAATGAGACACAATTGTTTGATCTATTAAAACTTCATTATCTTCTTTGAAGCTTTTTAACACCAGATTATGGGATGGAGGATAAACAATTAGAAACTTTTAGTTCAATGTTCATTTAATTTGTTGGTTAGATGTAGTGAAATGTAATACGTTTTGTCGGGCATATTAGTTACTAATAGCGAGCTTCTTTTTATTGATTTATCTCATAATTAAATTAAGCTTTTCTGTTCAAACCACTGTTAAATAATATCAAATGGGGAGATCATCATACACAAACCACCTTTCCGCTACTCTCTTAATAGAACAGTATGTTTCGAAACACTACATAATTATTAAGTTTGCAAGAATACTGTATCTATAGTGTAAGGAAGAGTTTCGCGTATAGTGAATTTCAAGTATAATAATGCAGAATTGTGAGCTTTTAGGCAATAAACTTGACTTATCTAATTAAACTGGGAATAAAATCGTATATGATTGGATTTTTAAATCATTAAACCCTAGTGAAACTATTTCTTAAGCATTTTTTAAACGAAATAACAAAAATATCAAATATTTGGTGGTAAAACAATACATAATTTGATTCTTAACAAAATCGTAACATCTACGTAAATTTGATTAGCACTTATCAATGAAATCTAAGACGAACTCAGCTGGAAACATGATCATTCCAACGTTAATATTCACGGAAAGAGAAAAGGATTAGTTGAAGTCTTTAATAACGACAATAGGGAAATGTAATAAGGTAATACAAATAATCCAAATTGTTAATAATTTTAGCAATATTTAACTTTTATATCATTTCAAAGTGTAAAGATTAAGTGAGAAATGCTTCTAAATACACAATTATATTTATTACAAAGTCTTAATTTTTTTAAAATTATTTAAATGCTGTTTTTATTCTTATTTCAGTTATTAGTTTGTTAAGTTCCGTATCTGTTTGGGCAGATTTTCTTTGTCATCTTCCATATGAACTAAGTACAACTTATCAAATGAATACATTAACATTTAATCAACATAAACAACCAATTAAGAACAGGAAAATACTTATACCTCAATCTAACAGTAATCAAACTATTATATCAACAATTTTTTCACTGTTACATCTTTCTCGTAATTATTCTTTATCTAAATTGATTAAATTTAAAAAGAATTTAAATCATCTTGAACATTTACATTATAATGCAAATTATTTATTTGGTTGGGCATATTGGTTTTGTGTAGTATCAGTTGTATTCTTATTTTTAGGTAATTTAATTTATTTAATGCGAAAAGATTGTGAAGATGAACGGCCAGTTGAAATCGTTTAAAAAAATAAAAAAATTTGGTTTTCAGTTGACAACAAAAACTTCAATATGTTATAAACTAATGAATCACTATTGAATGTAATAGTTAAATGTGTTAATTAATCTCGAAAAAAAAAGAAGTAAATGATCATAAATAAGAAATAATATTTCACTTTAGAGTTTGTTTTCGCTCTTGGTAAATATAATTTTGGTTTACATGAATCAGGTAATGAATATATAAATAAAATTTTAATAGTTGAGATCATGAGTCAACGGAAGTTAGACCAACATGAAAAACATGTAAGCACTGAACTGCCAATTCATTATGCTGTGAGACTCTTCACCAGTGAGCATTCACGATCCACTGCCGAGGAGTCCCACAGTAGGACGAAACAGCCCTCCAGTGCTTCCAGGTTTTCTATGGTGATCTAGCTTCGACTGACAAATGATCTCAACTATTAAAATTACTATAATATCCACAAAAACTCCTGATGTAAATAAAAGTTTTTTTTTCTTGTTTTAAAAATTTGAAAGCATTAAATATTATTTAAGTAGATAATTAATATAGAAATAAATCATCATACATTTGTGCAAAATTACTTTTTAGATAAAATATTTCAAATGTATAGGTAATCGAAATTCAATTGATGTTGTTTACTTGTATCTTCCCATTAATTTTTAGAACTGCAATTGATCAGTCTGTTATTGGCATATGTGCATCCTGTGCTGATTGCCTCGATATTGTCTTAATTCACAAACATGATAAGTAAACAACACCAAGTGAATTTAAAATTCACCCTATTGCACAAGCAAGTGGTTATAAGGACTTAGTAGCTAAGCGGATAACGCGATCGCGTTTGAAGCGAACTGTACTGGTTTTGAGTCCTGCAGTGAATATCAACTCTGAGATGCAGGTGCATCCAGCTGACGAGTTTCAAATAGAACGAAACGCGCGTCTTGGATTCCACTGCTAGCTACTATCCATCTTTGCTTGTATAGCTAATCGTCTGTGGAGAACATCAGAAATAATGATTGTGACTTTAGAAAGGTATTACATTCATAACAAATCAGATACGAAATAATGTTACACAGTTCTTAATCGAATTTATCGGCATTGAATTCAAGCAAAAAAGGGTTAAGAAAAGTATATCTGATTTCGATATTCTTCATTTAACGGTAAGTATCAGTCCGTTTTCATTTCAAAACTATTCACAGAACTGATAATGATGCTGGTAAGAAAAAGAGAATCTGTGAATTTTTTGACATTTACATCTGTCCAGATGCAAAACTTTACCATGTGTCAAAGCAGTAGTTATTTTATAGATGATAAGCCTCGACGAAGAGAGTTATTCTGTATAACAAACAATGAGGATTTTAAAATAGAAAACAAATGCAGAAAGATTTTCAGGGCACAACCAATCACTCGACTAATTAAGAACAATAAAATTCATAACTCAATAATCTAATGACTTTAACGTAGGTGTGAAGGTATACTTTGCCTTCAGATTAGTTTGTGATTACTGACAAAGTAATGAAAAGCAGAGTTTTAATAACTTGGTTTTCATCATTATGAAACAAAATTAAAATGTAATAGAAATGACAAACGTTCTAAAATGCCTTTGAAGAAGTGAGATGCATAAATTGATGAAGTAGTATTCAGGAATTTCATGAAGACATATTGAGAATACATTACAACTGCCATAAAGTTTATCATGATAATCTGATCAAAGTGTCACTACATTTATCTGTGAATGAGGTCACATTTTAAAACAATAAGATCCCAAATAAACGATTATTCAATTGGTCAAGACCCTTTATCAGTAAATCAACTTATTAAGCACTTAATTGCATTATCAATATTAACAGACACATTTAGTTCTGTTGACCACATCTCGTTTACAAATGAGAAAACGTCTGAATGAATAGATAACTGAGAGGTTCCTGTTCTCGTCCTCTGTTCCCTAAAGATGCTAGGAATATTTTCGATAATGTCTGATTTCTGTTCGGTGATGAAATTTCGGATGTTTCATCCTATTTAACTTTCACCTCTATTATTATAATCTAAATTCCAGTATCATTCAATAATCACTTTCGATTAAACATTTCATATAATACACCAGCTTTCTACTCATCAGGTATAAATTTGTTCGCGAAATAGAGGCAAAAAATCAAATCGATCTTTATTAACTCACATATTTCTTAGCAGTCTGAATTTGATAAGGAAACAGTCAAAAATAATATACATAATGAGCAAATGATGTTGGAAATAATCAAGTTATTTCATTCATTTATTAGTGAAGTTAACAAACTTTGATTTAAGTGAAATTGAAGTTTTTAGCTATAAAATGTAAATCAATAGAATCAGATGTTAATTCAGGATATGTAGATCTTGATGAACTTGTAACATAAAATGGTTTAAGTTAACCTTATCATGTTTGCGCTGTCTACTTTATTTATTTATTTATTTATTTTAACACAGATATTGGTACAAGGGGGTACCAAAAACATATGCGCCACAAAAATCTCATTGGATATGTGTGAGGGCTGTGATACTGCCCGGGTGCCCAAACCGAAGCAGGTGGTTTACTTAGGGGACCACACCCGGAGCCTTCGACCTGAACGTCTGACCCACAAGGCAGTGGAGCATCGTAAGGAGATGCAGTCCCATGGTAGCCGGTGACCAACGATTGGTTCATACGCCATTTGTTCCTTCAGGATACTGGAGCCCATGTGCACCGTTGATTTGGGATCCGGTTAGAGCGCCGGACATTCGCTTTTCGTCCTCTCATTTTCGTAAACAACACCCCCGCCACGAGAAGGCAGTGAATAGGACTTCCCTGGCAGAGGCTATATACACATGACCATGTGAGAGCATTTCGAGAGGGTGAGCGGACTCTCCCCACTCTCGGCCGTACCAGGGCATTTGGGGGCGCTGTCTACTCACTGTCTTAGACTTTTGATTCATGGCGTATATACGTGTCAAATGACTGAATGCATGTCTGTATTTAATTTTGAACTATTCATTCATTGGTTGCAAACACGATTACTCAATAAGTTTATTCAGTTCCAAAGAAAAAAGTTTATATCAAACTACCATATAGAGGATAATCCAATAGTATAGTTTTAAGACAGAGATTAAAAGCAACCATCGAGAAAACCTATTATGCTGCTCAATTGGTTGTGATTGAGAATTCTAAACCCATGATTCCTAATAGACCTAGACAATGCACTAATGATTACGTCACATCCCATTGTATTTACCAATTTACATGTTTGTGTGGAGACACATACATAGAGAGGAGTAATCGAACAATGCAATCAAGAGTCACTGAACTTGTGCCTAGATGGCTTCAAAATCAATTTTTGTCAAATGATCCGATCAACGTGGGAGGTAGAAAACCAGGTTCGTCGATAGCGAAACATATAATTCAAACGGGACACAAAATTGACATTAATATAGCTTTTAGAACGTTGTATAGAAATTGTCAAGGACGAATTCTCAAGTTTATTGAAGCCTTGGCTATTCGTAAATTTAAACCCCCCTTATGTGTACAAAAACAATTTGTCGTAACCGTGAATTTATCTTGGTAATCCTTAAGTCATTCTATGGCCAATAATAACGCGACACTTTCTTATTCTTTCTCTCCCCATTGTTACTTTTTTACTTGAACTTTGATTTAATTGACCTTTATTAACTTTCATATAAAATGCCCTGACAAGTTCATGTGTGACCAGATTGTTCGAAATGTATAACGCAAATACATCACATTTTTCAAATCAACTCCGTCTTCTCATTGTTCTATCGAAATTTATAAAAGGGACTAATTGCTTTAAATAATTTTATTCATTCATCAGTTTCCACTGGTACTAGAAAAAACATGCTCATACATATACATTCTTTCTCTTCTCTCACTTACCACTGTGCTCGTCTGATCCAACTGATTATTAATAAACTTCTCAACAAAACTCGTATTCTAGCTTCTGAATATTCTCAAGGAAATTAACGATGACACCTAGCCGGAAAATAAATATGTGCTTAAATGGGTTGGTAAATTTTGTGGTCAATCAAGGGAACTAACCTTAACAAACTAGTGGCCCCGATGTGAAAACTGAAGGGATATAGCGATGAGCTATGTATCAGTAGAAATTTAGAAAATTCCTTACTAGAAAGGCCGAAAATATCACAGGAGCACATAAGATTTATGATTCTCAAAGCAGCAGGTCACGATGAGCTAGATGAGCAAAAATTATTGGAATAAAGTTACTGTGGGGTCTTCGTAACTTACCTGGATTTACTTGAAGTTTTATAACTTCAGCTGAGTACTTTGAATGGTTTATTGAATTTATGTCCAACCATACTTGACAAACAGAAGAAATATAACCTCACTTTAGTTAATTTTACACAGTTATTAACCAAATTTTGACATATTTTTGATGATATAATGGTACATAGATCCATACTGAAAAGAAAAGAGCTAAAATTATGTGAAATACCCATAACTGAAAGTCCAATATGCCCAATGCTTTGACAACTATGATCCAGAGTTGTTTATTCTAAATTTCATTTTAGTAGATCACAGTGGATGCAACTAATTGTCCAACTAAAAACAACTTTATGTTAATTCCTTGAGGTGTTTTTCATTATGCTCTTAAATTTTGCCGATTGATTATTGAACTTCAAAGATACATTCAATCCTTTGTTGAGACGTTTGTTTGCTTAGCGTAATGAAAAAAACGATAAGAAAATCAATTATGCTTAGATACTCTCAGATAATGATCAAAGTTTTTTAGACTATAATAGTCAATAATGTTACTAATTTCATTCAGATTTTTTCTCATTATCAAATTCCACGTACCGTATATGACATAATAATGAACACTTTTTACTTTATCTAAGAAACGAAGATAATTAGATATTGAATGTTAGGAAACACCAGTTATTTAATAGATAACAATTAGGATCAAAGTTCAGTATTTTTTCGGCAATTTTTTGATGAACTTCAATTTAACAATTCATCTGCTTGTAATGTTCATAATGTAATTTATGTTCGGTAAATCACATATGAAAAACAATACAAACTAAGGAGAAACTGACCTGAAATATTATCTACGAGAATATGAATACACGAACACTTCAGTCGTAAACATTAGAATGTGAATGAAAAGTAAACCTCGTTTTGTTAA